CACACACACACACACACACACACACACACACACACACACACACACAGAGAGAGAGAGAGAGAGAGAGAGAGAGAGAGAGAGAGAGAGAGAAAGAGTCATACACACCCACACAATTATTTTGAGTGTAATTTTTCACTTAGATTTAGAATTTATTGCTCACATCCTCTAAATCTCTACATGATTCCATGAATCATTGTTTAAGAAGTCAGTGTTAATGTTGGACTTGAGAGGTTTTGATATCAGGGATCTTTTCAAATCAAAGTGATACCAACTTCTATAAAGACTTGTAAATGAAGAAAATGAGGACATGATTGCTCCCAGGAATGGTGGAGAAGGTTTATTGTAGATATGAGTGAGAAAACAGCCAAAGGTATCTGGAATGGTCCAGACTGAACTGGGCCAGCAGACTGAACTGGGCTATGGGGATTGGGGAGAGGAAGAGAGAGGAACCAGGTGCCAAGAGGCCACATAGCCCAACGGCTGGGCTATATAGGGAAGGAAAGCTGGGGGAAGGGAAGGGAAGCTCAGGGGTTGTCGCAGTGCAGGATAGAGGTGGGGTATGCCAGCCAGGATGACTGGCATACTTGCTGAGAACCTGCCAGGCAGCATACACTTCACATGTTAAATAGGCACCTGGGCCATTTGTCCTGAGTTTGAGACCTAACAGCTAGTGTGGTGAAGACATGGACATTTTGAATGGAAAGTAGTCTTGGAACTTCATTTCCAGGGCTGGAGAGATGGTTTAGCAGTTGAGAGCGCTGACTGCTCTTCCAGAGGACCTGGGTTTAATTCTCAGCACCCACGTAGTGGGTCACAATCACCTATAACTCCAGTTCCAGGGGACAAACGCCCTCTTCAGGCCTCCAGGGGCACTGCACACACATGGTGCACAGACATACATGAAGACAAACCACCCATACACATAAAAATAAATAAAAATTCAAAAAGAAGTTCATTTCCTATGTCTGTCTTCCACCCCACCCACCCCTAGCTTTGACACGAGAGAAGGAAAAGCAGAATTATTAAAGGATGAGCCATCTTTGGTCCATCAAGTGCAAGTGGGGCACTGAAGGAAAAGGGCATTGGAGATAGGAGGGAACAGAATGTTAATTATGGAAGATAAGGAAGGAGGTTGCTTCTGTTTTCCTGCCTTGTCACATGGTTTCCTAGTCTGGCTGCCTCACCCATAGTCTCTGATGGGGACAGTGTGGCTGCCTTACCATAGTCACTGATGGGGACAGTGTGGCTGCCTCACCATAGTCACTGATGGGGACAGTGTGGCTGCCTCACCCATAGCCACTGATGGAGACAGTGTGGCTGCCTCACCCATAGCCACTGATGGGGACAGTGTGGCTGCCTTACCCATAGTCACTGATGGGGACAGTGTGGCTGCCTCACCCATAGTCACTGATGGGGACAGTGTGGCTGCCTCACCCATAGCCACTGATGGGGACAGTGTGGCTGCCTTACCATAGTCACTGATGAGGACAGTCTGGGATTGGTCTGGAGGAAATGGGGTGTGTCCTGGTCTCCTGTGGAAGCTGAATAAAAAGAAAGGCAATGTACACCGCTCAACTTCTCACTATAGGCTTGTGGGCTTGGTAAAGAGAAGTAGGAAAGAGTCTTAAAAATGGTCAAGTACCAGCTGCAGAGATGGCTCAGTGGTTAAGAATCAGGACCTCTCCTGCAGAGTTGGATTCCTAGCAACCATGCCTGGTGGTTCACAACCACTTGTAACTCTAGCTTCCAGGGAACCCTGATGCCCTCTTCTGGCCTCCTTGGGTACCTACACACACATGTACACCCCCCCCCAACCCCCACATAAACATAATTAAAAATAAATCTTTAAAAAAACCTAGTAAAGTTAAAAAATAAATAAATAAAAAGGTCATTGTGGTCACTGTTAGCCTGAGCTATATAGTGAGAACCTGTCTCAAAACATAGCAAGACAGGAACTGTTTAAACTTCTTGTAGAAAAGTATACTAATCACTTCCTTTTGTGTTTCTGAATCTGTATCGCTGAAACACTCCCCAACAGGCTGCGGGCTAGGGCAGCAGTAAAATTTGTGTCCAGAGTCCTTCTACTCAAACTTACTACATTGTGTGAAATTCAAAATTTACCTGAAAACAAAACAAAACAAAACAAAAAACAAAACTTTCCCAAGCATCCTAGTTATCTGAGGAGAAGCAGTGTGCTCTCAAGTTCTGAACCAAGGATGCAGGTCAATTCTAGACTCTCTGTGGGAAATCTAGCCTAGTTCCCAACTTGGGGTGTCTAAGTAAACCAAGAACCACTCTGGCAGATGAAAGCACAAAGCAATGGGAAGAGATGTCCAAGTGTGGCATCTGATGCTGCCTCCTGGAGGCCTGGTTGACCTCCACCTTCACACCTCACCTTCTTTTATTCCAAGGTGACTCATCATCCCATTCTGTTTTTCCGTCCAGTGGTCACAAAGGCTCACTGTGGAGGTCAGTGCCAGCTCTCAGGGAGTAATCAGCACATCTGGTTTACAACAGTTTCACTCCCCTTCCTGGGGAAACATGAAGAAGCCTGCGGTTGTTCAGAACATTAAACATCATTATTTCTGGTCTTGGTCAGAATGCAGGCCTTGACTTATGCATGACCTCTAGTTATTAAAAAACAAAAACGGAGTGCCCAAGTCCTGCCTGGAATACTGTTATATGGCCGCTGAGCTGCCTCTACGGCTTGGTGCTTAGAAAAGAGGAATCTGCATCTCTCCCCCACCTTAACTTGGAGAGCTGTGTGGTTTAACCTGGTCGGTAGACTTAGGGTACAAGTTCAGATCCGGGCACAACATCACTGCCCTGCTTCCCTGCTACCTGTTAGATCCACTCCTTCCTATTTCTCAAGATGTAAATTGCTACATCTCCTAGATTCTATTTAGTCGGAGAATCCAGCCTCCGGCCAGCCTCAGGGATTCATTCATGGATGGCCTTGGCAGAAAATCATGGTCAATAAGCAAAGAGCCTCATGCTAGCCACAGCCTCAGGGCACAGAGAACACGGCTGCCTTTTTTATATCTGAGTGCAAATCTTGGTGTTTACAGGGCAAGTCACAGCTGACTAAGACCTGGAAGTGTCCTCGTTTTGCAGTTGGGAAGCAGTTACAACGGGGTCTGAGCTGCACCACTCTCTGGACAGTGGTAAAAAGAGGGCTAGATACCAGACCAAAAACCCGAGCAAGAAAGGTCCACTCACTGCAGTATCTCCAGCAGCCAGCCCAGTGGCTTGTACTCAGTGAAAGGAAAGACTCGACCAACCCTTTAGTATTTATTTCCCCACTTCCTTTTATATTTAACTAACCTTATCTCCAGAAAAGCCCCGTTGCACCCTCCTGCAAATCAGGGGAGGTCCCAAAGGCATGGGCAGGACACTGTACTCCTAAACCAAAAAGCCACTGGGCATCCACACAACACAGCAGGAGGCGGCACCTGGAGAGGCTGCGGCCACCCCTGCCTTGCTGCCCCATGCTGCTTTCTCAGGTGTGAGGTTAGATCGAGCGTGACAAAGGAGTTTTTTGCAACTTATCTGAGCACATATCAAAAGCTGTGGAGGTTGAAGAGAGAGTTGGAAAAGCCAGGAAGCCGCGCTGTCTCGGGATCCGGAGAGGGGGCAAAAATGTTCTTGTTTTAGGAACAAGACACGCTCCCGGCTCAGGTGGGTCAGGCTTGGCAAATGTCACCTGGGACTTCTTTAAGAGCCTCTAATTGGGAGTAACGAAAACTTTGCTCTTTCACAGGTAGTTGTTTCTCAAGGCAGGGAGGAGTGTCCCCAGAATTTTGCTCCGGGGACATCTCTTTTGGTGCAGTGTACCGACCCGCTAGGGCTTCACGAGAAATGGCCGCTGATTGAGAACAATTCGGCGCTTTGAGCAAAGCACAACCTTGGGGGGAGGCTGGCCGGGAAAGACGCTTGGAGGAGAGGAGGGGTGAGTAGAAGACGGAGGCAGGGGATTGTCACCTGCTGAGCTTCCCGGGAACCAGGGGGAAAGAGAGGCACCCTGACCAGGTGGTGCAGGGCGCAGGGAAATCCTCGCGCCCCGCGTGCGCGCCGGGCTGCTCCACACCTGCCGCGGGGTCTGACCGGCAGGCGGGCGGGCGGCGAGCACAGGTGGCGGCGATTGGGCAGGCGGGGCCCGGAGGGTGACGTCACGGGCTCCGGTCCCGGCGGCAGAAATAGGGCAGCCGCGGCAGCGGTGGCACAGCGGCGGGCGACGGAGGCTCAGTGAGCTGGAGCTTGGACAGTCTCTAGCACGCCGGGGTACCAGCCGACAGCCGGAGACGACCCAGCGGAGGACGCGGGGGCCGGGTCGCTGCCGCTGTCGCCGCCACGGGGCGCTCCCTCCCTTCCACCCGAGTCCGGCCACCTGGTCTTCTTCCTCTCGGCCCCGGCCGCCGCAGGTAAGCGGGGCGCCGCTCGGGAGCAGATGCGGGCGTCCGAGTCGTGCCACTGCCGCCAGCCCGTCCCGCTGCCGCCCGCCGAGCTCCCGACGCCCGCAGCTCCGCAGCTCGCTGCAGGGCCCGGTGCGGGCGTTCGCTGGTCCTCACTGCCCACGCCTGGAGAGCCAAGTTTGCGCGCCTGGCCGCGGGCACGGGACCGCAGGGCCGGGGCTCGGCAGGGCCACCCTGGATGCGCTAGGACTGGAGGCTAAAGCGGGGGCATCTGGGGCTTGACACCCGGGGATCAGCGGCGGGGAACGGAGCGATTCTTAGAGGGGCGCGCGGGGCGCCACGCAGAGCCGCTCCCGCTGAGCCCGAAGCTCGCGATCCGCACCGAGACCCTGCAGGCACCGCTCTTGGGTTCTGAACCCCGAATGGCTTCGGCCGAACCTTGGCGAGCGACAGACTCTGGCTCGCACCCGTGCCCTTGGCTCGGATCTAGAGTGCGGGACGGTCATCCTCTACACCTCCTTCCCCTCCGCTTTGCGGGGAAACTTGCGTCCCCTTGTCGCAGCCAAAAGATGAGCTGCGCCTCTCCTGGCCCTCATTTTACACCATAGTCCCCGGTGTAAGGAGCTCACAGAGGGCATCCGGGCAGATCCCTGCTCTGGAGACCCTGTGGCTTCAATTTTGCGAGGCCACAGTTGTTGTCAGTAAGCGGCTGCTGTAACCCACTGGGAGGTCTCCAGGGAGCAGTTTGTCCTGGAGGACATTCAGGTTGGGGGCTTGGTGCTAAGACTGATTGTGCTGAGTGATTCCCCCTTAGCCCCAGTGAAGGAAGAGAGACCATTCCCAAGTTTCAGAGGGGGCCTGTGGAACGCAGTCAGAATGTTGTTCTTGGGGCGCACATCGCTTAGAGTTTGGGTACCACTGCAGCACGAGGCTTTGAGCATTCCCTGCAGCTGACAAAGCCATGTCCCACTTGGCTTCTCTCATGCCTGCCACCTGAGGACTTCGTGTCCTGAAACTCTTGCGAAGGCAGAAACTGACTGACAGACAGCAGTCGGTAGAGCTCGTGATGCCCTGGATTTGACGAGCATCTGTGCCGTGCTTTGGTCTACTCAGAATTCCCTGGGAGCTGGGCCCCGGCTAGGTCTGCATTTGCTCCCAGAGCTGGTCCACCTTGCACTGCCCAGAGGACTTCCCTCCCTCCAGATAACCGGCCCTTGACACTGATGAATAGCGCTCTGGAGTCTCCCCTCCGCTCCCTCTAGGTGTCGCTTCCACCGAGGTTTCCATGGGTGAAAAACAGCGCCAGTAGCTTTCGTCTGTTGTCTTAGTGAATCTGTTGCAAGCCTGTGCGCCAAGAATTGTACTAGATACCCCCATCCGTGAGGTGCCCAAATTCACCCCCTTTTATGCACCTAACACAGAAATGGGGTAACTGCCAGGCAAAAACGTACGCTGCAACACCCCGTTTTTTAACGCCGTTTTTTAAGGGGGGGGGGGGCATGAAGAAGCCATCAGGACTTGCCCAGAAAGCCCCCAAGTTATTTTCCTACTCACCAGCCTCCGGTGAAACAAGGGCAAATTTTAACACTCTATTGTCACCCTTGGTAGTGGCCAGTTCCGTTCTGAGGACAGGCTGTGGTGTGGGCGTGGGTGTGGAAAGCAAATGGGCAGGGGAGTAAGCAGGGCTTGTGTGGTGTCAGAGCCCCAGCACCTCTCCATTCAACCCTGGAACCCCTGTTCCTGACAGAACTCAGTCACTTCCTGTTTCAGTTGGAGGAGAAGGGGCTGCCACTGTCAGGCCACTTCCGCCACTATCAGCTGAAGGCTGACTTTCTTCCTCCCATCCTGGGACCCAACGCCTCCTGCTTCCAAGAAAGACTTCAGCTTGAGCCAAAGGTCATCCACGGAAAGAGTCCACAGGACACAGTGTAGTAACATTCCTGATGATGTTGTCCCAGCGACTTTTATTTTTCCTCTTAGAACTTTGAGCTCACCAGTTTTTGTTAATTCCAGAATGGCTTTTATTTCTTCCTCCTAGAGAGGGACCAGCTTGTTGCCCTGGGACTAGGTCACTCACCCATGCTTTACCTTCTGCTAAGGACTTGGAGGACCTATTTGTTTCCTGTGACTTCATGTGGTGATCTTGTGTTTGACTTGACAGTCTTTTCCAGGGACTGGTATTGAGCAGTGAAGATTTCCCAAACCTGCCCTTAATGGCTACCCTATGTCTGAGGTATTTTTTTTTCCTCTGCAAGTCCCGCCTTCTTGTGTTGCTTATGTGGAGTTATTGTTGCCCTTCCACACTTAGTGAAATTGGATTTTTCAAGAGAATATCTCTCCTGAAGAGTTTTGCCTCGTAATACCTAACACTAAGGTGTGGAACATCAAATATAATGGAAAACCACAGTATTACCTGAAGGTTGGAAGGATAAGGGTGACTAGAAGCCGTAGGTGAGTGTACAGAACTTCAGTTCCAAGATGAATGTCATCAACTTATGCATTGCACGTGAAATAATTCAGGTAGACAATTCACCGATTGTTGGGAAATACATAGTGCATAGTTAACAGAAAATGCAATGTAGGGCTGGTGAGATGGTGCAGTGGGTAAAGGCGTTTGCTGTCAGGCCTGAGAGTCTGAGTTTGAGCCCTCAGATCTACTTGTAGAAGGAGAGATCAGATTCCTGCCACTTCTCTGACTTATACATACACAATCAAATAAATAAAGTTATCAAAATGCAATTCCGCTTAATTATGGTGTTAGTCACATGCTTATCATCTTCAGGTTGATATTTTAGGGGCAATTTGGGGAAAACTGAAATGCTTTTTCTTTTTTCCTAAACTGCACACAAATCAAAACTAGAGTCCTAAACCTTCCAGTAGAAATTAAGATGTAGTTCCTGGTTTCGGGTGGGGTTTGGTGTATGCCCCTCTCCCTAACATTTGGGCTGATACACAGAAGAGGATAGCAGGGCTCTGGGACTCCCCATTTGATTTTCCTCTGTTGACTGTCAACAGAACATGGTGTAAAATATGGTCCTATTCAGGTATCAAGCAGATGTTTGGAAATGCAGGTGCCTCCTTGCTCTCTTTGAGGCTCTACCGAGGCATCTTTATAATTTCTAAGCCATTTGTGTGTGACTAATCCATAGCGACTGGCCTGGTAATGTTCCCGTGCTCTGGAAAAGAGGTCAAGAGAGAAAGAGAGCTGGTGAGCAGTGTCCCTCCCTGGTGGCCAGCATTCCCGCTTGTCCTGAAAGATTTGGTTATAGAAATAGACAAGACTTCTCTCAAGTCCATCACCTGTTTAAGACTCCGGTCACTGATCCTGCACAGTAAATACAGCTTACATGTTGGTTTGTGGTCTCTGTGTGGGGGCAGATCTGTTTTTGTTTTTGGTTTTTCTGTTTTTTTTTTTTTTAAAAAAAAACATGAATTCATATTAGTTTTAGTCTTTCCCCAATAACTTAAGATTTTAGTCATGGCTTTTCAACTTTCTTCAAAAAGCAACTTGGCATTTGGAATATTACATCATGATAATTTGTCATAACTCTGTAATTTTGAGCACGGAGAGATAGCACAGACACAAGCTTGTTTTACGATTCCAGGAAGTCCTGTGGTTTGCACAGAGAGGCTATGGCACTGACAAACACAAGCATCACCTGGGAGACCATGCAAACCTGAGCTCTTTCTATAAGCTTGCAGTAGCATAAGAGCGCAGGCAGGTGTCCAGATGGTGGGACGCTGGGGTTAGAGTCTAGGTCTGGGCAGTGCCCTGGTTCCAAACCTTCAGTGATGTATTAAAACTACAGCAGACAGGCTAGCACCTAGTTCTCCTGACTGTGGGAGAATGTTGAGGACCCGGTGGGGACCAGAGGAAAGAGTGAAGTGACTTTCTTCCACCAAAGATGTTTTATCTGCCAAGTGATTGATGCTCCGAGTTGTTTGGAAAAGGAGACTGTCTCAGGGACTCCATCCTGGTGGAGTTGGAACCAGTGCTTGGGGTCTGGCCAGGATTGAACAGAAACATACAACGAATGAAGCATAGTCTCAGAAGGCGGTCTAGATTGATAGAATCTGCAACCTTCTGAGGAGCTCATTCCCAGATCTGTTGCTAAAGGCTAGCAAGGCTATTTAAATTGGAGCTGCAATGAGTTCAGTAACAGATTGGTGACCTCTAAGTGACTTACGCTCCCTGGAGTTGGAGAAGCATCCTTGCCCCCTAGAATTCTGTGTGATTTCTCTTGGAGAATGAGCCAAGTTGTACTCCCTCTGGGGTCAGGTACAGAAAGGGACAGCTTGGCTCTTCCCCCTTGCTCTGAGTCCTTGGCCATGGTCAGAGCCTTGACAAGAAAAGGAGGCTCTGGGCAGCTTTCAGGGGCAAGAAGGGACTCCCAGTTTGCTTTGTATCGATTGACTCTGTCATATGAAAAAGAACTACCTACCAAGATTAAATATTGCCAAGGTGGAGAGACATTGAGGGACAGGATGTAACAGAACCACCCACCTGCTAACTTACATGCCATGTAGCTTTGACAGGGTACTTACCCTCCCTGTGACCCTGTTGTCTCTGTCATCAGATGGGGAGGAAGGATAGTCATTGCCTTCTGCAGGGAGTAAGACGAGGGTTATGAGTAAATGCCTGTAAAGCAGTTAGAATAGTACCTGACACATGGTAATTGCTATGTGAGTGTTAACCAAATAGAGACTCTCTATTTGGTTATTAGACAGATCATCAAAATTGATTTAGACCCCATATTAATTCTTCTTTTTATTGACTGAGTTGTCATAAAACTCTAGTTGAAATTTTTTAGGCTGTTGCTGCTCTAGATGCAATGAATTGTCAATCACCCTTTGTATAAAATGACATCCAAGACACATCCACAGTGTAAATGAAATCAGCTAGTGGTGGCCAAACTGAGCTGCATTTTATAAAGAAACTGTGTAGGCTGATTCCAGTGGTTTATCTGGCTCACATGTCTCCCTGTCTTCAAATAAGGTCTTAACAGGGACCGTCAATGCAAACTGGATAAAGATCAGTACCAGCTCAGCTACCAAGGTTGGTTCTTAGGTTCCAAGTGTCCTGAAACACCTCTCAGCATCCAGCCAGCTAATGCTCACCCTCTGGACCTGCCTTGTAAATGAAGCTACATGGTGCTTGCCAAGACAATAATTGAAATGAATGGATTTTATTTTGATACTATCCATAATAGTAAAACACCATTGGTTTTTCTTTTTATTACTAATTGGTCTTAGATTACGAAGCAAATTGAAAGTAAAGCGTTAGATTTTGTGGCTTGCATATTTCATAATTCCAGGAGTTGACATCTGTACATTAAGTAAGATAGATTTTGACTGTCTCTATTTTTCATGTGTTTGGGCAAGGAGGCATGATAAAAGGAGGTAAATAGACCTTTAAATGCAGGTGTTTTCCTCACAAGCATTATTTGTAAGAGGACTAATATGGACAAATTTTAAAAGGAATAGAGAGCATAATCTTTCTCATTCTAGCTTGAATAACTATACTTAGCTCTTAAAATATGCAAAAGTCCAGCAGCTGCCATTTGCAGTCTCTGGAATGTGGCTCCAGGTTCAAAGAGAATACTTCATGAAGAATATGGAGCTGCCTTATTTATTTTTAGAAAAACGAAACAAAACAGTTGCAGTATGGGCAATACTCTCTTGTAGCTCCGCACGTGGGAGTTCTTTTCCCTCTGCCTCCTCATGCCTCTGAGATGTGTCCATCCTTCGCAGAGAGTCAGGCAGCTGCTGGCTTTTGTCACAGGCCTCACTCACACAGGCAGCAGCCGAAGCCACACTGTGCGAAGTGCGCCCCAGGGGCAGGGATGGTGACATTCTGGTGAGAGCTACTGGCCACCTGGACCACTTTCTCAGTAGCTCAGCTTTGCCGACAGATGTCAAAAAATGAATGGCTAAAGAAATAGAGAAATGGGGATCTCTGGAGGCCTTCTCTAAAAGAGAGCTATCCCTTGGTGACCTTGTCATTGTGTGTAGTGTTCCAAGTTTTAGTCTGCCTTTTCTTCTTAGTGGGCATTTCTGTCTCACACTTGGGGAGGCAGCCAGAGGAGCCCACACACTGCACAAGTGGATTTGTTGGGCGGTCATGGCCGTAGCACTAGTGACCAAGTAACAGCCTTTGTCCCTTGTCTAGGTCAGATTTTTAAACTGTTTCTACTCCTGATCCCTTTTACCTCTTATGTAAATTAGATTACAAAGCAGACATTTACTGGTGATAAATCTTAGACTTTTACTTTTTTTGTTTTGTTTTTGCTTTTCGAGACAAGGTTCCTCTGTGTAACAACCCTGGCTGTCCTGGAACTCTCTTTGTAGACCAGGCTGGCCTTGGACTCAGAGACCCACCTGCCTTTGTCTCCCAAGTGCTGGGATTAAAGGTGTGCACTACCACACTGGGCTGACTTTTACTTTTAAAGATTTATTTATTACTTCTAAGTGTGTGTATGTGTACTAGAGAGGAGGTACCTCCCACCCCAGCCCAGGCCAGAGTCATCAGATTCCCCTGGAGTTTGAGTTACAGGTAATTTTGAGTAGGCTGATATGGATACTGGGACTCAAACTTGGATCCTCTGAAAGAGTAGAATGTACTCTTAACCCCAAAACCATGTCTCCAGCCCCCAAGGAATTTATTTGAAAACAATTATTTAGTATATATGTACTTTTATTATTTGTTAAAGATAAAAGAAATTTGTATACTCATAAGATGACTGTGCATAAGGAATTCAGTTTTGGCGTATGTTTGATACTGCAGGAGGAAGAGCATCTTTGGTGTTTCTCGGAGCTGATTAATATTTTGATTTTATAATTGTCAGTGTTGAACACCATGTCACTTAAATACATAGTATAAAATGGCAGAAGGGTGTTCAGGACCATTTCAGAAACGGTTGGAAATTCTGTCCTGCTCCTGAGCCAAAATTCACTTAACAAGTTTTATGGAATTCCAGCCAGCAACTCAAATAGCAATTTTAAAAATCAAACATTCTTACACACTACCATCCAAATATATATACTCATTTGATACTTACATGCTGAGGAACGATGGTAGGAAAATATTAAAAGACTTCGTCGTCTATAATCAAATCATTATGTTTCCATAAGAGCAGAAAACTTTGCTAAGTGAAACACTGTGGTTCAGAGCATGCAGTAGTCCTGGATCTGAGCCATGGTGTTTCAGGCAGCACTTGGTGGTAGTGTGTTAGGTCACACGGCGTGTGTGAGGCAAAGTCTGGTATGCTCGGAGCCAAGGCTGCCATGAGGTGGTGAGATATAGCATAGATAAACATTGCCAGAACCTCCTTGGTTTCATTATGCATTTGCTTTTTAATTAATTGTTGGTTCTGTATTTTACTGTTTACTATATTCTACCATTGCCCAATTTTTAACATTCCCCCCAGGAGAAACTATATAAGTTGCTTTGAAGTTGGGATCCACAGTTGAAAAGGTTGGGGTCCAGAGTGTAGGAGTTATCCAAGGCTGTTGACTTGACTACAGGGATGGGACTCTTCAAGCTACAAGCTATCTCAAGCCAAGCTTTTGAATGAGATGCAGGCCAGGTCATCTGGAGTGCTGGCCTCTAAAGGGCACTATGTGTTTCTCTCTCTCTGTGAACAGTCTGGATGTAGCATAGAGAGTCTGCAATTAAATACCATCAAAATTATGGCTGACATACACTTACAGTGCAAACTTTACTTAAAAAGTAAGCAGGTGGGCCAGTGAGATGGCTCAGCAGGTAAAGGTACCTGCCATCAAGTCTGGTGACCTGACTTTGATCCCCAGGATCCACACAGGGGAGGGATAGAACTGACTCCTGCAAGTAGTTTTCTGACCTCCAACACATCCCCCACAACACACACACACACACACACACACACACACACACACACACACACACACACCATCCTAAATATAAATTTTTAAAAATGCAGTTATTAGGACCCCTGGAGCACTCTGTCCTCATTCCATTAGCACAGCAATTTAGCACATTGGGTTTCTTCTTTTTTCTTTTCTTTTTTTAAATTTTTGAAACAGGGTTTCTCTGTGTAGCTCTGGCTGTCCTGGAACTCGCTTTGTAGACCAAGCTAGCCTTGAACTCACAGAAATCCACTCGCCTCTACCTCCCAAGTGCTGGGATTAGAGGCATGCACCACCACCACCAGCACACATGAGGTTTCTTAAACACTGTTCATATCTGAGCCTCAATGTCTTGGCTGTGCGGCTCCTATGTCTTTGGTTACCTTGAATTGCCCCTTTGTTTTATTCTAAGACTTCAGGTGAAAATGTTACTTCCAGGTTATTGGGATTTAATTGGTATTGGCTGCTCAGATTCTGCTACAAAAACTAAAATACTAGACCTTATGATGCTATTTTGAAGTTCATTTTGTTAACCAAGGTGTGAGGTTTAGAGAAGTTGTTACACACTTATATTATTCCTCATCAACATTTCTTTTTTTTTTTT